TCTTTAACATTTGGTATAAATCTGGATGACCACAGTGAACATGTAGTCCCATGTGCACAAAATTAAAACCGAGACTGATAATTTGATGATTTATTAGTGTGGCAATCATTGAGAAACTGACATTTAAAGTTGGTACTATGATGATGTAAAAAACTGGCTGACAGAACAGCTCTGTGTCCACAGATAAGGACTATTCCAACATTAAAGCAGCTCAAATCATATTGCAGAAATTACATGTTTTGAATGTTTAAATGTGAAAAGGGATCCAACATTCCAAACTTCAGTAATCAAGAAACAAAAATGCTGACAGGGCAGCAAAACACACAATAACAACAGAAACTGAAGAAAGATGACAAACCACAGAGAACATGGAAAAAGGACAATAAAGAAGGAACAGAATGATGGTAAAATGACTGAGTGAGAGATGATTACAGATTGGATACAGGTGAGTTTAAAGAACAAATGAAGTGCAGCTGTGAGGTGTTGGTGGAGCAGGCGAGCTGAGGGTTACACTGCAAAAAATGTCCATTTTACCAAGTTTTAAAATCTTATATCCAGCCAAAARGTCTTTTTGRTCTYGTTTTGAGACTGATTTACTAAACTAGAACTGATTGTTTAAGAATAATAATCTTGTTTTCAGAATGTGTAMGATTRTTTGTCTTGTTAGCCTGAAAATTTGACTCATATTAAGTTAAAAATTTCTGCCAATGGAGTAAGAATTTTTTTACTTGGTAAGATTCTTGAAATAAGAAAAAATTGAGTCAAATCAAGTATTTCAAGAATCTTACCAAGTAAAATTTTCTTACTCCATTGGCAGAAAATTTTGACTTGATTTGAGTCAAATTTTCAGACTAACAAGACAAATAATCTTACACATTCTGAAAACAAGATTATTATTCTTCTANAAATTTAAGATCCCCACCCACTTGTTAATTATTTGGGGGTGGCACCTGGGGTGGCCAATCACCCATCTGGCTCCGCTMCTGTCTGCCAATTGTTTATTAATAAAATATTTTAAAAATGAAGCCAAAACTAGTGTAATTTTTGACATAGGTATGAGTTACCACTCAGACATAAATAAAACAAAATTTGATGCTTCTGAGTCATTTGCCTTTTTCTTTTGAAAGTCAGTCACACTCTTAACACCTGAAAAAAAGAAAGAAAAGCTGCTGGACCAAAGTGCTGTGCAACAAAAAACTTAAACTGATGATCAATGCAATTACATATTAAAACACCTAGGATGATGCCAGTCATAAAAAATATAAAAACTAGCACTGCAGTAAAAACGTTTTATAATACACAATAAAAACACATAGAATAAAATCAAAATATCCAAGTTGAGTCAAACGCCAATGAAAAGAGGATGATCTTTAATAGAGTCTTAAAATTTTTCAATTTCTCAGCAGTTTTTATTTAAATTATTTTTTGGCATTTGGAACAGCAAGAAACACACAATCAACTGTTCTTGTTGTGTTTGAATCATGGTACATCTCAAGAGTGTAAGTATTTTTTGTCTCAGTATTTGGAATAAAGAATGATTAGACAGTAAGTGACCACATCGTTAAGGTTCTTAAAAACAAACAATTAAATCTTAAAATCAGAGCTGTCACAAGCAGGAAACCGATGAAGAAAAGCCAACAAGTAGTAATACGTTTGTGTTTCCTTGTTGGTATAAAAAGACAAACAGCTGCATTTTGCTGCAGACAAAATGAGATGACTGATCTACAAGGAACTATAATGTTTGTGTGTTTGTCTTATGTTTGGATCCTTCCCAGCATTTTAAAATATGTTATGGGTGTTTATGAAATGTCATTAAAAAAACATTTCAATAGGAACAATACAATTGCCCAATAAGTTCTCCTTTGCTGCGTATTATAACATCCGTCTGTCCATCCATTTTCTTCCTCTTATCCGGGGTCGGGTCGCGGGGGCAACAGCCTAAGCAGAGAGACCCAGACTTCCCTCTCCCCAGCCACTTGGGCCAACTCATCCGGGGGAATCCGTTCCCAGGCCAGCAGAGAAACATACAGTAGTTCCTCCAAGGTGTCCTGGGTCTTCCTCTGGGCCTCCTCCCAGTGGGACATGCCTAGAACACCTCACCAGGGAGGCGTCCAGGAGGCATCCTTACCTCAATTGGCTCCTCTCGACGTGGAGGAGCAGCAGCTCTACTCAAGAGTCTTTCCCGAATCACTGAACTTCTATCTCTAAGGGAGAGTCCAGCTACCCTGTGGAGAAAACTCATTTCCACCGCTTGTATCAGTGATCTAGTTCTTTCGGTCACTTTGGATTTAAAGAGACAGCGTCAAAACGAGTTGATCTGTGACACATCTCATGACAGAGGTGTAAGAGGGGCTTGTGGAGTTACAATGAGGAACTCTGACCAAAGCATTGCAACTGAATGATTTATGTAAATGTAAAAAAAAAGGATTTGAATGCACAACATTTCTCCTTTAAGTGATACTACCTTGAGATGTTCTCACTTCAGCTGTACGAACGAGACAACCACAGCCAAAATTAGACTATRGGACCTCCTATTTCACCAAACAAAAGGACAAATTAAAGGAAAGCCARCAAACGTTCTCGGATTCAATCCAAAGGTCTCGACAGGCTGTGAAGAACACATTCAATTACAGCAACAACGGCCACAGGAAATGATTTCAGTCAAAGCTGTCCCTACCACAATTAAGCTGTGTTAATTATGTATTTCATTAAGTAAGTGGATTAGAAGCAGTGCTGATGAAATCATAACAGGGTTTGCTGGAGGCCAAGCCGCAGAGAAAGTAGACAGGAAAYGACTGATAGCTCTCTCTCTCTCTCTGACTTCCACTTCTCTGTTCTAACCTGAAATAACCCTATAAATACTTAACACCTTTACCGGCCTATCTGGGTTGTCTTCATTGGCACGCAGTCACTCTATCTGCATAGCATTTTTTGTGCGGGACTAAATCGTGTAATTGTGCCATAGATACTGCTGACATCCAGATGCTGTTTGTAAGACCTCTGGAAACGATGAGGACTCTTAGTTTCGTCTAAACCAGTTCATTACCATTCAGGTGCAAAACGGAGATAAAGCAAAAATGCAGATCATTCTGTCTGTCTCCCCCTCTTTTCCACTCATACTCTCTCCCTTCACTCACATGCACTCTTTCATTCTGTCTCTCTCCGTTCTCTGTGTTCTCTGATGTTTTATTTGATATCCCACAATAAAGCCTCTCTTTGAACTGCCATCAATTGTGTATGGATTTTCCTCTGAGGAGAAACAGAGAGCTGTCTGAAAGGGCTCCAGTCCCGCAGGCTGCCTTCATATTGATGCAGAGGAGTATTGCCATCCTCATTGCTGGATCAATCACTCACGTCACTGTTGTTTTATGGCTGGGGCCACTTCACAGAAAGAAGCCTGACAACATCACCACAGAGGTTTGCAAACCGATACAGCTCTGATAGTCGAGCAGGACGGGAGGGGGCCGGCGGAGAGATCCAAGAAGCATTTAGGGATGAATTTGAAATCTGTAACTGTCACACACATGCACTCTCACATATCTCTCCTCTACAGCTGTGGGAGCATCTGGTTTACTGCACGGTGTGCTTAAGTCAAACAGAAAGCATCGAGGAGACCGTGGCATGTTGTCAAATGTATGATGAGATCTGGGTCACCTTGTGGATGCAAAATCTCTGCTCTGTCTCTCTGCATGGACTTCCTGTTCAGTTTTCATGTTTTTGAGTGAAACAGAGCCTCACCAATACTTCCATACCTGGGYAGTCAGTTAAATTAAAATACGTTTTTTAAATGTATTCTTCTTCTCTTTAACAGTCAACCAACAAACAAATGGAACAAATATTCTTCTCTTGTCATTTCAGGAAAATGTTTGATTAAAAAAATATTTAACCCTTATGTTTTAAAATAAAAAAGAAGATAAATGTTTTCATCCATGTCTGTGTGTGGATTTATGTCAGCGAAATATCTCATGAACCATTTAATGAATTTTAAATAAACTTGAAGGAAGGGAATCAAATTCTTGGTGACATTTTTACATCTTGGACATTTACTCTGTTTTTTTTTCTATGTTTCAACAGAGAGAAAGCAGACCCAGCCTACAAGTCAAATYGGTTCATTATTGGTGGGCAATACTAGGAGTTGAGAGGTTGTGTGCAGAATGACCCGGGGCACAGGCAGAAATCCAAAAAGTAACAAAAAGGCTTTATTAAACAAACAAAAAGGCTGACGAGGCAGCTCMAAGTACTCACAAGGAGATCTCAGGGAGCGAACACGAAGAACACAGAGACAACCAAAGACTGGGGAACCAGCACAATGAACGGACAAACACTGAAGACAGGACACAGAACATAAAGGCAAACTAATTAAAGACAACAAGAAACACCTGGAGGAGACACAAGAGGAAACAGGTGAGCATGGGCGRGGCCAGAGCAGGGCAGAAATACACAGGGGAGCACTGAAACACTAGAAAACTAAAGCAAAGACACAGATCATGACAGGAGTTTTGGTATTGATCCAATGCCAAGTAAATACAGGACTAGTATCGCCCATTCTGATACAGATACTCATCATGTTCATTGAAGTATTTTGTTGTTTTGCTTTAAGTTAGTCAATTATGATTAAAAAAAGACAAAGATTTTAGTTAGGCAAACAAAAAAAATCATATTATCTAACTACAACAATATGTAACAATGTAACAGTACAAAAATAAAATAGTTTACCCTCTACTACACAGTTCTTTAAGAAAAAAATCACTTCTGCAAAATAACAAAAAATGAAGCAACATGGTAACAAAATTATAAATATAATAATGTCAATAACACAAAAATATCTTCCATTGCACACGGGCATGATGATACGGCCTAATGAAGAGGACTAACTTCAAAAAATATTGGGACTACAGACTTTATTTGTCACTTTATTTGTGAAAAAGAGTCAGTTGTGCAAATAAATTGTGAACAAAACAATCGATCTCATCTCACTAGTATCCACCATTGTTGTGCAGATCTGCTCATGGATTCAGATGTTGGTAAATGGGCACATTTGTGTGAGCATAAACAACATAAACACACACATTAGTGTGCCACTCTGCAGCACCTCTCAGCAGGTGGAAAAAATCTGATCCAATCAGCAGCACCCTCAACTCAGGAAATATAAGGAATCCACCAAACATTTGACTGGTTTGGCAACAGAGCTGAGGAAGGAAARCACAGTCTCTAAAGCAGCATTTCATGGGAAAGGACTTAGATTAAACAAGGACTACCGGTAAGCCGTTCAATGGACTCATTCAAGATGTAATATGACTTTGGTTTTGTATTTGGAAAAAATGCAGAATCCAATTGAAGAAACAGTTTGCACTGCTATTTTTTTTTTACAATTTGACTCTTTAAAATGCATATTTAAGATGTTTAATGTGAAAAAAACTTGTTTCCTGAAGAAAAGAAAAATGTCATTCTAAAAATGTTTGGATTTGTTTGATTCAGCCAAATGCAGAATTCAATAATGTAATACTTTATTTCATTTATTTCATATTTCATTTAAGGTAATAAATGGAATTAAGATGAATTATTAACTTTGAGTCAAATGTTTAAAATGTATGTTTAAAAAGTTTTGTATGTATTTTTGTAGGTTTTTCACCTATTCATTGATTCACACTCACTGGTGAAAATAAAAAAGGGTTGAGTGAAATCCTGAAGTCTACAAGTCCTCCTTTTCAAGTGTGGGAAGCCATGAAATTAAAGAACACTTGACAACCATCTAAAATGAGTATCGGATCGGATCAATACTAGTGAGATGAGCTTGATTCTTTTGTTTACACTTTATTTGCACTACTGATTTTATTTTTCACTTGGTGAAAAATAAAATTTTTAGTGCAGAGTCTCCAAATTTTTTGCGAGCTAGTCCTGAGTCCTCTACATCATGCCCATATGTTGTGGAAGTTATATTTTGCTGTAAKTGTTCGATTTTTCTTACATTGTTTCTTCTTTTTGTCATTTTGCACCAGAAACGTTTTCATTGTGAGCAGCAGAAGGTATAAGAGGAATTCCTAAAATCTTTGTTCTTTTTATCATAATGGACAAATTAAAGCCAAAATCGCGTCATTATTCCAAGAGCATGACAAGTATTGGAATCTGAATCAGCAACACTATCACAGTATTTATTATTTAATTTTGTCATCATATTGATACCAAAATTCCTAGTATCACTCATCCCTAACAGCTGCTTCGGATGTTATCAATCCATTAAACTGACACTATTAGCGGTTATCAGTCCCATAGAATGGCTTCAGACTGTCCAGACAGTGCCCCCTAGTGGGTTACCAGTGCCATATACGTTGGAATGAAACAATCTGCTACTGCTAAACCTAACCCTAAACTAACCCTAGCCCTACCCCTATTCCTAACCCTAACCCTAACTGGTCTACTTCATCGTAGGCCATGTCATTTTCTCTAAAATTAACCTTAGTGGCTTTATGCCTCATATTAACCAGATTGCATAAAAAAAACCTTAGTGGCTTTATGCCTCATATTAACCAGATTGCATAAAAAAAACCTTCGTGGCTTTATGCCTCATACTAACCAGCTGACAGTCTGAAGCCATTCTACAGGATGGAGAACCTACTAGGTGGCACAGTCGGGACAGTCTGAAGCCATTCTATGGGACTGATAATGGCCAATAATGTCTRTTTAATGGATGATAACATCCGAAGTAGGTGTCCGTAATCAATACTCATCTTGGTATCGATAATGTTGACACTTAGATYGATACACTCACTCCTAAGGTTCATTAAAATAAGTTTCATTGAACTGTGAGCCTATTAGACCCCTGCCACAGATCCCAGCATAAGCCGCCCTGCTCACAGGCACTAAAGCCTGGTCTTTGAGGTGCAGCAGCTCCTCTACAACCATCAGTCAGTGTTTTCACTCTGAACTCTCCATGACCTTCCCTTCTACTTTGAAAGTCCTTAGCTGTGTGGACTTTGGCATCTCCATTACCACCTTAAAGAGACAGAACCTTGTTTTATTCGGAATGAATGTTGGTGGAAGAGTTCCTCTTTCAGCACCTAACGGGTATTAGAGCGGACCAAAAAAGAGGTACGAGCCGGGTAAGAAGGAAGGTGGTGGAAAAGAGAGTGGAAATCTTTATGTTTGTTGAATGGCCCTTTAATTCCCTCTCCTGACAGAAGGCAATGGCAGCCTGGAGGAGGGTCAGGACACCAGTTGGCATGAAAGACACATTTTTGTCTCGTCTCCAACTTTCTCTGCTCTGTGCCTCCACTGACTGTAACATCTCATTCCCCCCCCCAAGCTGGAAGTCTCAACAGCCATTCTCTTGTCATTGGGAGGCGGCAGGCAGCTCTCTGTCTCTTCRCTCACAGATGAATAGAAAACATTGTGCCAAAAAGCCTCAAATTCACCAAGCTGTTTTCGATTGCATATAAAACACAGAATTTGAGAACATGTTTGAAAATGACAGGCTGATTGGCTGTGGTCATTTCAGACTGTGTGGGCCTCATTTTTTCCCTGTGTTTCATCAGTGGGTGCATTCATCCATTCAGGATAGATTGAAGCAGTAGCCTTTAATAAAGTCACTAGGCTTGAAAATATATGAATAAAATGACATCCACTGCCTTGGATGGATCAAATTGACTTATCCTGGTAATAGCCCAAGGATAATGTGTGCGTGTACGTGAGCAAGAGACAGTGTGTCTGTGGAGAAAGACAGGAAACGAGGAAAAGAGCAGAAACCAAGATGGATATAGTGGTAAGGCGAAGGCAAGGAAGAATATCAGAGAAATAAAACAAACTTGACCTGAGGGGACAAAATTAAATGAAAACCTGCAGCTGGACACATGACTTTGAATCTTATTTGTATTGGTGAAAGTGACCCATCCCAGCTACAACCATTATAAAGGATGCTGGGAAGGAGAAAAACAAAGCCATTAAAGTAGGGAACAGAAGAAGAAGAGTGACAAACGGGATCCTAACAAAATTAAAGGGTTAGTCAACACAAAACATAGAAATTATGAGTCCAATTTCCCCAATTCTGCAGCAATTTGATAGCACTGAGCCACTGAGGATTCCTAAATCCAATGATAGTGGTGAGAAGGCATAAAGAGCTGAACAGAAGGAACAATGATGATAAAGACAGCTTCATATTTCCGTCAATTACAAGAAATAAATACTCTCAATCTCATATCTTGCTCCCTCTTACATTTCTCCTATTTTTCCATCCTCATTTGGCAAAAAATAAAAAAATAAATAAAAAAAAGTCTGGGGTTTTGACGGAGTGTTTGTGAGCCACGATAATGACAATCCCAAGCTATGGCTGTACAAGGAGACACATGTCTGTTCTCAGCTCTTCAAATGTCCAGCTTAAACTCCTGCTATGTGTGAATAAAGACGACAGGAAGTGGCAGTTTGGCAGCTCCAACCAGGAGTGTCACTCTCAATTGCGTCCCCTGCCAGCTCCAGACACATCGCACGGCCAAAGAGGTCACGGGTCTGACTCCTCTTTCTCCCTGTCTTTCCTTCTCTCCCCTCTTTCATCTGGTTTTCAGGACATTCTATTTCAATGCCACCTAGACAAAACTCAACAGTCAAGGAGAAGACAGAATGATGTGCAGAAAACACGAGCCAGAGCGACGGCGGCCCATTTTCTGAGCGCTCCAATAAAACATGAGGCTTGTCTTGTCAGATTATCCTGACACCCTGTGTCAGAATCCCTGCCACGTCTTCATGAAGCTGAGTAGCAGATGTCCTGAGCTTGCTTTCCTCCTCTGGATGGAACTGTCAAGATTTGCTCTTGAAGGGCACTGAAGACAGCACAGAAGGAACAAATTAGGAGACTGAAGTTTTTTCTTTTCTTTTCTTTCTTTTTTTTTTTACTGATAGGAATACCAGTTCCAATATCACAAGAAACAATGTTCTTCTATGAACAGTGTTGTGTTTTAGATCACGACARGGGCGGAGCTAGACTTTTTTTGCAAGGGGTGACCAAAGTGGGTTTTTTTTAGGGGGCACATATAAATAAAGACAAGCACTCTGGATTTTAAACATTTAAATGGCCACCTCAGCTAATTTCTTTTAAAGAAATATTGAACTGAAATTTTGTACGATTATAGCTAAAGAGTGATCAAAAAMTAGTCACTAAATGCKWGCTACAACKTATATTTCAGCCATTTTTACACATACAAAGCTGAAGATTAGTTTAGAAGTAGCCAAAAACAATCTTTCTGAAATTCTAAGTGCTAATCAAAAATTAAAGATGGCCACCACAGCTAACTTTAAATGCTTATAGTTCAGCAATTTTAAGACTTATTGAAATTAAATTTGTTGTAGGATAGATGCTCAAATGTTGATTGCCACTGCTAATCTCAAATTAAGCTAACTACTRATGCTGAATCTAATTTTACAAAGGGCTATAATTCAGCTATTTTTGAACATACACAGTTGAAAATTATGGAAAACAATAGTATCAGAGAACAACTGTATTTATTCATGTATAATGTGAAAAATTAAATCCATAAAATCTTCCATTAAGTTAGGGGGTAGTACTTTGCTCAGATCAATGTTTTTGCTTATGCATTTTAACGGAAATGTTGGCCTCATTCACAAAATGCCGGAAATGAGACCATGTCATAAAAAGCGGTTGAAGCGAGCTTACCTCTGACAYKCCTTCGTGCTTCCGAGTKAGATAGCAACAGATCCAAGCAGGCAACACGATGTGAAAAAAAAGAAAAAAGTAAGTCCTGCAGCTTAGTAATGATAACGAACTAATGATATTAGTGTGTGACCGGGCCGCTCCCAACAAACACATATCGGCTGTAATGGCTGCCGTCTACCGGTGTTCTGTAAAAGTTGGTCTACCTGAAAAAAGTTTCCCCAACAGAGGAGGTGCTCACGAGACACAGAGGATGAGATTGCTGAGTGGGATTGTGATGCCTTTATTACAGAGGAGGAATACCAGAAACTTTTCAATGACACAGATGATGGTGAGCCTGATATTGAAGGCTATTGATTCAGCTCTATCCACACTTGTTCGAGCCACATAGCTCCATCTGTTTGTTATATCACACCAGTTAACAAATGAGTATTGCTAAATTTCACATAGAAAATTTTGTTGTAGTTACTGTTATACGTGTATTGTTGTGTACATTTTAGTACATATGTTGTTAAAATAAAATAAAAACATCTAATACAACATGATCATTTTATTGATATGTGTAAAGACTACAAAGGCAGAAAAATCCTGAAGTCTATATTAGAGAATGAGAATTTAACTATTTCTTCTTTTTAAGCTAAAAAATGT